CGAATTATATCTTCACTAAAGCTCTCCGTGGCCATTTCATTTGTCGCCGAGGATCGGATAGATTACACGAAATTCGAAAAATGGCAAAAAGGAGGGAAAATTCGAGAGGTGTGGTTAAGATGGGAAGTTGGTGTCCGAGTGGATCGAAGTCAGGATAGCTCAAGCGGTAGAGCAGCGGCGTATTTAGCCGAAGGTTGTGGGTTCGAATCCCGCTCATAACACTGGCTTTCTTTATCTCAACCAATACCTTACATAAATGTTTTTATTTAACTATATCTTATAATTGTAATGGATTTTGATAATAAACTCTTTTTATTGTGCTTGCATACTTAAATTGTAATAAATAGGGCATTTGAAACTTCGTATAATTTTTTAAATAGTGATTGTGGTAAAAATTTCATTTTAATGGGCAACACGAATGTCACGATAGGGACTGAACAAATCCTTTCCTAAGAAATGTCGATAGGTGACAATACCATAACACATTGCATAACACCATACACATAACAATATTGCTGCATTCTCTGAACTGATTCATTTCAAAAACTTAGGGGAATTCAATTTCTAATACTGGCTGATGATGACGATCTTGTTATATTAAATGAAGTCATAAATGGTGAATAACCGGTCAAGGTACTGTTAATTGATTTGTTTTGTGTATCTAGTCATTGCCTACAGTTAGTGAAAAAATTCAAACTAGGATTACAACTATTCAGACCACTTAACTTTATTGCTTAGACTATCTGGTCTAAGCAGTTATTATCACGGTACAACGAAGACGCCTTTAGTTATAAAAACAAAAATTGGTGACGTTTTGTTGTCTGATTTGGACGTTACTATGACATACCTGATTATAGTAGTTGATTGGATGATTGGTTGGGTGATAAAAGCAGCGCAACGCGGGAACAACACTTACTCTAAGTACTTACACTTACTCTTCGTTTACTATCGGTAAAAATATCCGTTTCGACTATGAATGCTTCATTCGCCCTTTTGAATTTATTGAAAACATCCAATTCTTCTTTAATAGAACTCCAATATTTCAATATTGTAACATACCGCTTTGATTCTAGAGGAATGTGTTACCCTGGTACCTGGTTTAGACCGACTTCCTTATGAACATTTCAAAACTGCTCCTGAATTATTTTTAACCAAGATCGTATCACTTTTTAATTGTATTTCGGAAATGAATATAACCCGCATTACTTTTATTACATTACTCATTTTTATTTTATTCAAAAAGAGCGATATTCACGGTATCAGCAATTATTGGTTTGTGTGTCTGTCTGTCTGTGGTCAATTCCTTGTAACCGGCATATGAAATTTTGATGATGAAGGTTGGTCGGTACCCTATTGGAAGGTGCGCATGCACAAAATGTGAAGAAGCTATACTGCCCACCCAGTTGGCAGACGGCTCCTAGGCCCATTGGCAAGAACGCACCGAACAGGAATCTAATATTTTTCCACCTACTAACACTAAAAAAGCTTCAGTGAAATCTCACGTCTCTGAGCATGAAATAGTCAAATAATGAAGAAAAAGAATAAAGAGTGGAATGGCAGCGATGCACAAGGTGGCATCTCGTCTTGCCCAAAATTGCTACAAACCACAAAATATGGCCTGTTTTCGAGAAGAATGTTTACATGTGGTAAGGTTTTTTTTAAGCATTGAGTACTTCAAGGAGGTAGGTTTGGAAAAAATCATGTATTCTGGCCGAAAGTCAAAGAACCCACTTTGAATACGCCAACTGTATTTCTTGGTTGAGACAATTTCTTGCCTCTCCCTGCTTATATCCTAAAGTCACGATATTATATATACACACACATATAAAGGTACATTTCATCTCATTACATCTCATCAGAAGACTAAAGAAAAATATGAAATTTTGAATCAATCAACTTTTTAATAGTTTTTCCCATTCGTGGAAGATTTTATTTATTTGTTCCTTTTAATCTGTTTGGTAAAAATTCTTTTATTCGGATCCTCTTTTCTTGTGAGTTTATTTGTACTTTTGAACAAGGTTTTCTTTTTTTAACTGTATTTATTTACATCTACGCCAATTTCGCTTAAATAAACTCAATTTTGTTTGTTAGTTGTAGTTTGTACATTACATTTATACATGTGTACATGCAGTTGGTTGTAATTGCAGTTGTTGCTTGATGTATGCGACATCACATGACCTAGAAGGTCGGGAGGCCAGTGGCTTAATCAGTCGGATTCGCTACATGGATGAAAGGTTTCTGACATGAGGGTTTATCTGACAGGATGTCTGGGAAACTGCTTGCAGTTGGTTTTGGCTATTTCAAGGACATATGGGATACTAAGGTCATTCTAGATGGTAAGGTTAGGGGTTGAAACGCTTAGTTGAACAGCAGAGTTCGACGCCGTATGTCCAAATGGGTCTCCGAAGAGTCAGTTTTGATCGTTTGACCTGCGGTCTTTTAAGAAGTCGTGTGTTGGTTAAATATATGTCATTTGGCAATTTATGACAAATGAGGTGAGACAGAACGGAGTAGACGAGATTAGAAAAAGTGACATGTTAACTTTCTTGTATGTTTGTAATTTTCCACCACTTGTACCACTGCTCAAAGGGTGTGACATGATTTGTGACCTGACAATGGAAGCTTTCTCGTTGAGATGGTAGGTTTTTTGTAAGAGCAAAATATGGCGGTATGAACCACCGAAGTATCTGTCGGTTAACTTCATTAAGTGTGACTGGTTTTGGTGGAGAGGAGAGAGGTTGAGGTGAGTAAAGGATGTATCATTCGTTTTGGGCGGAAGGGATAATTTCAGAAAGCGTAGGAATATTGTATAGAGGATGGGCCCTGAGATACACAATTAGGGCACCCCAGCCACTAATGACTTGAACGGGTCTATCAGTGGAATACTTTTAGGATCAGATAGCAGGTAAAAGGGGAGAACTCTCTTACATTTGCAGAATAGCACTGAGTGCCATAACGATCGAAGGCTAGCTTCATATCTAGGAATACACTGAAACAGAAAAAAAGCGGGTGATGAATAATGAAATGAGAAGGTCTAGAACCAGAAGAGGTCAGAAGGTTGGAGAGAATGTGCTTAAGCAGTTTTTATAGAATTTTGCCTTTTGTAAGCAATACACTGATTGGACGAAAGGATGATGGAAGTTTATGAGGTATAGGTAGGTAAGGCTTTGGGTGGGAAGTATTTTGTTCTAAGGACAGAATTATAAATGTAGGTGAGGAGTACTACAGATTTTTTTAGGTAGATGTCGAAAGATTTTTGCTGTAATTAGGTCAAACTTTCTTTAGTGTTAGATGGTTTATCATATGGGATACTTCATCGGGTGTGAATGGTTTCGGTGGAGAGGAGGGCAAAGTATGACGATATCATCCGAGTTGACAGTAAGGATAGTTTCAGAAAAAAAATGTCTGTGGTGTATACTGGGGTCCTAAGGTAATTCCTTGGGGTACCCCTGACTGATGACTTGTATCTGTCGGTTAAATCTCAAGATTCCAGCCGTATCCGCTCTCCTTCTACATTTAAAAAATAGAATGAGAACATGTGATGCCAAACAACTGGTGATCAGGAGGTGCGGGAATGGAGAACGAGAATGTACTTAAATAGTTTTAATAAGTTTTTGCTTAAGATGATGGAAGGTTGTGTAGTTGTGCATATTTTACGTTACCAATTTATGTACCGGAACAAAGGTTTTGTTACCAGAGTAAAGGATGCTGGTATCACCAGAGTAAGTGGTAAGGATAGCTCCAGAAAGGGTAGAAATGTCTGAAGTGTATACTATGTCGAAGGTGGATCCTATAATATTTCCTTGTATTACTTCTCCGTCTGTGCGTTAGGAGGATGATAATGAGAGCCACAGATGACTTGTATAAGTCGGTTAAGTTTGATTTTACGATCAGATAGTGCGTAAAAGGGCTCCTATGGATGACAGGTTTTTTTATGCTTTGGATCCGGATGAGGGGGAATATCCTTAGGACAGAAATCGACAGCCTTTTTATGTAAGTGTCGAACAATTTTTACTGCGCTTCGGTCAAAATCAGGAGCATTCTTTACGGGTCGATGGCTTATGGTATGGGAATTTTCATTGGGTTTTATAGTTTTGATGAAGAGCATAGGATGGAAGTATCATGTGTTAAGGAGAGTTTCAGAAAGTGTAGGAATGTCTGTGGTACTGTGAAAAGGATGGGTCTTAAGATATTTAGGGGGAAAGGGGTAGACAAAGACGACGTTATTATATAGGTTATGGAACTTTAAGGTTTTGTTTTGGCGAAGAGCAAGGATGTTGGTACCCGCGTAAGTGATAGCTTCAGAAAGGGGAGGAATGTCAGCGGTGTATACTGTGTAGACGACGGGTCTCAAGCTACTACCTTGGGGTACTCCTTGCGTCTGTGCGATAGCAGGATAGATAGTTCGATAGAGAGGAACCACTGGTGAGATCTATCTGTTGGCTAAGTTTGATTTTATGATCAGATAGTGGGTAAAATATTGCTTAAGGTTGGAGAGAAACGAATGGCAGTATCATGCGGTACGGATAGTTTAAGAAAGGGTAGGAATGTTTGTGGTATTGTGTGTAAAGGATGGGTCCTGACATACTTCCGTGGGGTACACTTGCATCTGTGCAATGTTCTTAAGCAGCCTTTCTAGGATTTTGCCTATTATAGGTAATAGATAAGGATGATGGAAGGTTAGATTTGCTGGCAGATGTTTCTATGGTAATCAGGATGGACTAACAGGCAAATAAGTAGTACTTTTCTTCAACGGAAGCTCAAGAGCTATCATCTGGGCATAGAAAAAAATGAGCAGATTTATTATTCAATAATAATTTCTGAATTTTTCGTCCTGCTTCATCAATTTACTTACCTGGAAAGTACTACATACACTAACGATGTGTTAATGCGCGCCATTTCAAAAGGGAAAGGAATGAGTATTAAAAATATGTCGAAATCGTCAATTTATTAACAAATATTTACAAAAGTATAAATTAATAACAAATAAATAACAACGTTTAAAGGTAACTGTATACATTTTTATATTTGTGCAGTTGGAACAGAAATACAAATATATTACATAAAAGTGAGCAAAAATAATCCTCTTAAAGTACTTTTCTTCTGAGGCATTGTGTTCATTTTTGTAAAATCCGTGTTCCACAATTTCTGTCTGTGAATAAAAAATATGTGTAAAGCTTACAAATAAAACATAGGTACTTTTTTTGATTAACCAAAAACTGATACATCCCACTTTATATTATATACAAATAACTTTTCTCCACAGTTGAGTCTACAAACTCGTTCTTTATTTTTGTATAATTTTTTTTTTTTGGACAAAAACCAATCTCAACTAAAACGTTATCGTTGAAACTAACACTACACCTACTGTATGAAAATCGGCATAGTTTTTAAAGGCCGATAAAATTACACTCTTTACAAAGGAAACTGATCAAAAGTTACCTTTCGGCAATTTTTTCTCCCACGGTTTTATTGTTCCCTCGTCTCCACGAAAAGAGAATGAAACCGAACGAAGAGGATTTCGCGTAAATTAACAATTTAAAGAATTATGAAACGACGATGCTAAATAAAAATATCAGTAGTCTTTATTACTTAGCCTTTACGTCTTACACGAGAGCGCAAAAGTTCAAAGTTTCCAGCTCCAGGGAAAGCTTTAAAGCACAACTGAATTGTCTCTCTTCAACATTTCTAAGGCTGAAAATTGTGAAATGTATTCGAGGATGGAATAAGTTTCATAATTTTTAGTTAAAGATCTAAATGGGGTTGGATGTTATGACTAGCTAGGGAATCAACATGAGTAATGATAGTCGTCATAAAAATAGCATATAAGGAAAGTCGGTTGTTGTGAATAGAAAGTGTCCAAGAATGCTGCCATGCAAGACACCCCCGCTTTATTAATAATATGAAAAAAAGCACACAAAAGACCCTGAAATTTGCTGCAGTCTGTCAGGATTTTATTATTACAATGAAACAAAAGTCGAAACGTTTGAACTAAAGTTGAGATTTTGGAGAGATATAAACAACTGCCATATTGTCTCCATTCGGAACATTCGACAGTGCGAGGACAGGTTCATCATACCACCGCGACCTCACAGAAAAATCTAAAGAAGTACAATGTGCAAAAAGGTTACAGTGCTTGATGAATATGATGATGATGGTATGCTAGGAAGCGGGCGGTTCTGTATTTCCCAAGCACTGTAGCCTTTTGGCTGTACCTTTCTTAGTTCCTTAGCTCAATTCAGATGACCCAATCATTATTGTACAACGTAGAAGGGCCATTGACTGTCATTGCGGCAATAATTTTTTTTTGTGGGTCGTCTTGATATCCTAGGTTATATCATTGGGCAGTTACTTCGCCTGACCATGAGATGGTAGTAACAAGCCTTAATATTCTCCTGAGTTTTACCTTCTCTAACGGCAGCAATTTGTTTGTTAGTTTTGTCAATATTTCTTTAACCATGGGTTTACTGTCTCTATTTTGTCCACATCTTTTAAATTCTGAACGAGGCAGTTTCTTCCTCCTGGAATAACCTACAAGGGCCAGCATTAAATATAATGGCGTTTTCCGAGATGACAGTAACCAGTATATAGCCCTAACACTCCCCTGAGTTTTCTGAGTTAAGATGTTGAGTTCAGTCCTTGTTATCCCAAATATGGGATCTGGGCTTTAGAAGGTCTTGCAGGTTGTCCTCAGTTCGTCTGTTTTTTCATTTCACAGAACTCCTTTCTGTTCTTGCACAGAATATAGTCAGGTTGTTTGCCTACATTTTGGAGTTTTTGGATGTTTGGGTAAACCCTTTCAATGTGACTAGGAGCCAAAAAAATTAAAGCTTACTTTCTGATTTATCCGGCAAATAGCCAAAGAAGGATTCTTTCTATTATAAATTTGCTATCCATCCTCTCGTTTATGGTTTAATAACAACCAATTTTTATCAACTTCACAAGAAATACTTCTTCGCTTTTAGCATGTTGGTTGGTTTTTAGACCTTTTATTTACAACTTAATGACTTAATCGGTTATGAATCCCCTCGTTTGGTTTCGCTCTGATTGTGAGACAGAGTGAGCCTTCGCAATTCAACCGAATTTATCTCTAAAAGGTGACGAAAAACAGACCGATTACAAGTTTTAACTCTTTACACATGAAACCGCGATTGGCCAGGCTTTTAATACCCTCAAAAATATTAGTAGACACTCCAAGACTATGTCGTCATTCGTATAGTTTTCATGATAAAATCTAGAAAAGTCTCAATTTTTCTTAACTTAATAGATCAAAAATTATGGAAAAACATGTTGGTCAATGTATTAAAATATCAGTCTTATTAATTTTTTCCCTCATAACCAACTATTCCAAAGATTCAAGACTTGTACTATTTGATCATTTGCTTTGAAAAAAAAAACGCAAAAAAAGCAAAATAAAACCTGTCAAAAAGTAAAAATCCAACAGTATTAAAAAGACTCGACAGTTGTATGACTGTATATTTTTTTGTTCCTGACAGGACGGCTTGTATGATATCAAGAATGTGTTTTTTTTTATGTGCGTGTGTATAATTGTGTGGGTGATTTTGTATTTTGTTTTCAAATATTTCTATTTGTACTTTTTTTGTATCTCCAAATTCCGTACATCGAAAACCACTGTCTACAGGCGGTACTGTTTCTGACGATTTTTTAGCGTCTATTTTTCTTTGGCATCCTTTGCCCGTTCGTATCGATATTTCTGCAACACAAAGAAAAGCAAAAATAGATTAAGATAATGTTTGGCTGTTACAGCTAAGATAGTCTGAAGAATGGTGAGGTATTGAAGGTTTGAAAGGTGAGGACTGCTGTAGGGTGCAAGTGTAATGGGTGGACACTAGGAAGTATGTATCAAACACCTGAGATATTTCCAGAAAGGTTCCGGGGATGTGCAGTTGAAAGAAGGAGGTGGCCTAACATAACCATCCCTAAAACCAACAAACATCCTGAATTATCACTGTCCCGTATGTTTACTGACGAATCTTGAAATCTTGATAATCATTCCACCCATCTACAGTAGTGTTGATCATCATCGAACAGGCTTTCGGTCGAGTTTGCTCTGGAAACATCAGGACACCATTTGTACCTTTAGTAACTGAGATTTTCGGTGGCCTTTAGGAAGACTGGTTGGGCGGAGCTGTGAAGTTCGATGGCTGGTGTAGATGAACCTGATAATGCCGATGTAGGAGCGAGTAAACGGACTCGAGTAGCTTGCGGCCACCTGAGAGTACTTCCATTAGTGAGTAATGAGATCTCATCGAGATAGAACCCCTGTTTATATGCAGGGGTGCTGCAATTCATTGAGTGCTGCCTGGAAGTAGTGGCAACGCCTAGTGGAAACTTATGTTAAACAAGGTCACCAAACACCTCTTCCTCAATTTCAAATTGTACTTGGCCAGGTACTTAAGAGTATGAGCCGAATCCTCTTACTCTCCTTTGAACAAAGCAGGCTGGGGCGTTACTCAGGGTAGCTCAGTATAAACTGCTGATATCTCTAAACCTTAAAAACCGCATCTTCTGACATCCTACTGTCCCTTCAGCTTACTGCAAATTCTTGGTAAGCTCCTTGAAAATCTCCTCTATAAATAAATTTGGATTTAGTCGTCACCATTCCATTGTTTAACTGTGCCATAGTGTTGCTGGCATCATCGCATCCTCTCTTGAGAAGAAGAATTGCCGTTCGGATCCGTCCTTTACACACTTCCTCATCCTCAAGTACTTTAGAGTATGGGTCGGATCCTATCAGTCTCCTTTGTTTTGGGTGTCTCTCAGGGTAGCTTCTTAGGCCCTGTATATACTGTATTTACTGTATCCGGTATATACTGCTATATCCCTTCCCATTCCAAGACCATTTCAATGTTCAACAATACCATCGTTTTGTGGCCGTCATTTTTTCACGAAAGAAGAAAGAATGCTCATTGGGGATCTTTCGTGTCAAACAGCCTTCGAACGAGTCTGGCAACTCAAAAGCCCGCTACATATTCCTCATCCTAAAGTCCACGTTTTACCTGCAACGTTGTTTTTTTATATCCGTCGTACAATGCAAAAACTTACGAAATGGTCGGAATAGAGCTTTTACCAAACTCGAACCTTAGTGCTGACCTGGCCCTTCAGGTTACCATCTCTTTCGTGACCTGTCATTTCCTTAATACGGTTAAACTGGATTAAAAGACTAGAAGAATTACCATTCCTTTCTTGAGACGAAAGAAATGTTGTTCGGAGGTCGAAGAGGCTTTCGATCGAATTTGGTTTGGACCCAACTGGTTGGGTTTGGAAACTCAAGGGCAAGACACTTCATCATCCTCGGGCATTCCTCAGAGTAGCTTACGTACTAAAAACATATTGCTGAAATCCCTATCTATTCCGACATCACAATCCTCACATACTGCTGTTATGCTCCGAAGCTCACCGATCCTTCAAGATTCTCAAGCAGGTTCTATCTTCCAACTCCTGAACTTTGCTCGTGATTTCTAACTAACAATCCTTCTCGACGTCTAAAACAATATTAGCCCTATAACCTGCATTGATTGTCGACTAGTTGAACTTTCCTTCCACTCCGCCCATTTTCTACTACTTTCAATCCTGTCTTAACACCCAAATCTTGATTCTCTATTGTCTGTTAGATGGAGTTGTAAAAGGTGCAGGTGGAAAGGAAGGAGATTAGGTTGGAAATATCAATTTGTCAGAAAGAATGACAGGATATATGTAGTCCGTAGCAAGTCATTTCATTAAGTACCGTTTAAAGCATCCTTGACCATCCCTAAGCCCAACAATCCAGACCTTCTTGTGAATTCCAGGCGTTAATAGTTGCCATCTTAGTAAACTCAATCGTGTTGTGGATATCGCATCATCGAGATGAAAGAATGCACGCACTTCCTCATCAAGTTCGACTTGGCCAAGTACTTCAAAGCGTGGATCGGACCCCCTCATCGCTATACAAACCCTAAAGGTAGCCTACGTACTCATTAAATACTGCTGATATCACTTTCCGTTTCCGACATCACTACCCTGATGACACTCATTCTATCCTCGGACGCCGTTAAAGCTCAACGAACCTTCTAGACACCTGCAATCCATGGAACGTATCAAAAGTATAAATCCCAAAACATAACTTTCACCTTACATCCAAACTATTATAACCTTACCTCTCTTACCTAACAAAATCGTCATCCGATACCTCAGAGCAATACCTAAACAAGCGACTGACCTGGAATCCCCATATGAGTTTATCAAAGATTTGGGCAAAAAGTGGAGGACAAGATTGACAAGAAAAATGAACATTTATACATAAAAAAACAAGATACATTCTAGATCCCATTCTTTTCACCATTTACACTGCTGACTTTCCTGTACATCCCACCATTATTACAACAGGTTGGATTCTCACGCTGGTTCTATCTTCCAACTTCGACCCCGTTTTGCTCATTGAACACTCGAGACACATCCATATTGAACTTTAATCTTGATTTCGTCCCAATAATCCTTCTCGACTTCTAAAACAATATTAGCACTGTAACCTGCGTTGTTTGTAGACTGGTTGAACTTTTTGTGTTTTGGTTCGTCTGAGCGTTGAAAAAATGAGTTTCATTCCACTCAGCCCATTTGTGTAAATAGAAATAGTTAAGTGGCCAAAGGGGAGGCAAACGGAAAAGAAACAAGCTGCATATTAAATTTAGAATCGCTTATAAGGAGGCTAAAAATAAACAAACTTCTTAATTATGTTAGATGTGTAGGCTACGTGTCGTGGATCGTAAAATTCCGAGGCGAGGGAAGCGGGCAGACGAGCACGCGGCCTATAAACACAGCTGTTCAATCATAAGATGTTTGGAATCACCTACAGCACCTTACAAGATTATCAGCCGACAATCCGCCAAAGAATAAAAAAATAAGCTTCTTAGAACGAGAGGCTATCAATAAATAAATTTTTGTTTGGTATGACTCCGCTGGGCTTTCGAATCCAATACAGTTCTGAGTGTGGAGTGATCTTCTATGCCCTTTCTTCGTAACATTTATACAACCGGTTTTCACGTCAGCCGTCACGTGACTTCTGCATACTTCATCTGCATCCGGCCATCTCAGTCGTTGTCGCCCATTGCTATGGACATCAGTGAAAGATCTCCTAAGCCCCCAATTATATTACACTTCATAAAAAATCCCAAATACACAGAAAGTTTAATTAACATGCTTATGTCAAGTTTAGGTCAAGTTAACATCACACAAACATATATCTCATACCATCTTCCAAGTTTTTTCATTGCTTTAAAGAAAAGGTTTTGCAATTAAAAAGGGTTAATTTGAAGTCGAAGAAAAGTTTTTTACAATTAAAAAGGGTTGATTTGAAGTTAAGAAAGGTATTTTTTTGTTTTGTTGTTTTAATTGATTTTTCAATTTGACGGAAAAAATTTCTTTCTCTCTCTTTTTTTGTCTCACTTTCTATCTCACTTACTCACTCACACCTTCATTGTGTCTCTCACTCACACAATCATTCTCTCTCTCTCACACTCATTCACTCACTTTATTACACTATCTCTCATTCACTTACGATCTCTCCCCCTCACTCTCTCTCTCTCTCTCTCACTCACACACTCATTCACTCACTCACTCACTCACTATATCTACCTAAGGTAATCTACATAAGGTTACTATATCTACCTTTCTCACTAACTCACTCTTTCTTTCTGTTTCACCCACTCCCTCTCTCTCTCTCTCTCTCTCTCTCTCTCTCTCTCTCTCACCGTCTCGCGCTCATATACAACCTTTAAATTTAAAAAAGTTATTTGTAATTAAAAATTATTAATTTTATGGGGAAAAGCTATATACACCCGGATTTGATAGGTCAGGGGCCTGTCGAAACAGAAAACCATACAACCGGCCCACTGAGGAAGACGAAAAGTCGGAAATCGTCTCCCACTCCAATGAGGACAGGCCGACCATAAAGATCCGAAAGGAACTAAGGATATTAAAAAGTCGACTATGTCCTGCTTTGGACATAAGATGTGTTAGTAATAAAAGTTAGTTTATAAGAAGTGTTAGTTTGTAATAAAAAAAAAGATAAATTTTTGTCTGAACAAATGTTGTCTAGTGGATCAACAGTCAGAATGTTGCATAACGCGGTTTTGAATAGTTTTGTCTCTTTTTTTATTGTCTGAGCTCGGAGTTGACGATGGACCGATGGAAGTGGTTTAAGGCTTGTTCACCTCGGTCGCAAAAAGGCGATCTCGAGGAAGGGGGTTCTGGAACCATGAGCCGTCTTCCAGATAAGCAACGACGTGGTGTCGGGTTTCGGAAAGGCGGAGACGGCCTACCGCACTTCCTTCTCCCGCATAGGGTTCAACCGGACGGGCTGAACCACCCGGCCCTCCTTCAAGTGACAAGTCACAAACAATTAATAAAGAAAAGACGAAGGAAACCCACCAATAAAGACGACAAGGAGGTGAAATAGAAAATTAGCTTATTTCCATGTAACTACATTGCTTTCTTTTGTTTAAATCGTCATACATAGGACGGTTTAACGCTTTAAGAATTATGGAGACAATATATTGACAGAGATTTGCATCAGCGATCTGATCTAAATTGTATAATTCACAGGCGTTGAAAGGCATAAATGTGGTCTTTTGAGTACCTCTCTAGCCAGACAACGCCACTTTATAGGAGTCTTGTTCTGGATTTATTATCTATTCTAATTGTTTAAAACATCGCGGCTGAAAAAATAAAAGTTTATACACTGCAGTGCCATCTCCTTAATCAACTGGATAAAAATTCAAGAAATCAGAATTTTAAAAGAAACAAATGAAATATTATTTCGGGAGAGAGAGAGGCGTGAGTGACCGAGATGAGGGAGAGAGAGAGTGAGTGAGTGATGAAGTGAGAGTGTGTGAGTGATAGAGAGTGAGTGAATGAGAGAGAGAATGCGTAAAAATGTGAGTGAGAGTGAGATTGATTGATGGATTGAGTGGTGAATGAGTGAGAGAGATGAGTGAGTGAATGAGTAAGAGAAAGAATGAGTGAATGAGTGAGAGTGGAGGAGGAAGAGGGAGAGGAGAGAGGGAGAGAGAGAGAGGGAGAGAGAGAGAGGGAGAGAGAGAGAGGGATGGAGGAAATGAGTGAGTGACCGAGATGAGAGAGAGCGAGTGAGTGATGAAAAGAGAGTTCGTGAGTGATAGGAAGAGAGTGAATGAGTGAGAGAAAGAATGAGTAATGAGAGAGAGAATGCGTAAAAATGTGAGTGAGAGTGCGTGAGAGAGTGAGATTGATTGATGGATTAAGTGGTGAATGAGTGAGAGAGACTGAGTGAGTGAGAGATAAGGAGTGAGTGAATGAGTATGAGAAAGAATGAGTGAATCAGTGAGAGTGGGAGAGAGAGAGAGAATGTGAGTGAGAGTGCGTGAGAGAGTGAGATTGATTGATGGATTAAGTGGTGAATGAGTGAGAGAGACTGAGTGAGTGAGAGATAAGGAGTGAGTGAATGAGTATGAGAAAGAATGAGTGAATCAGTGAGAGTGGGAGAGAGAGAAAGAGAGAGAGAGAGAGAGAGAGAGAGAGAGAGAGAGGGAGTGAGGACTTTGGTGAATCAGATTGCACAATGATTGTTTGTTCCTCCAACTACGCATAGAAGGTTGCTATTCTGTGGTGTTCCTTTAACAACAAAAAACAGCAAACATTTACAATTGACAGTTTTCTTTTTTTAAATATCTAGCTGTTTATCTACTTAAAAAATAAATCATCTCAGTTTCACCTAAAGCCAATTTGTGTCCGGCATGTCTGATTGATTGCTTGATCCCACTTAAATGAAGGGTGTCAATTTTTGGCTCCCTGTAGAGAACGTGTAGTATTGTCGCAGAAATGCAGAAGTACAGCAAGTATTTGGTTCCTCTATTCCGATTATTGGAGGAGGTACATAGTAGGTGTAGATTTCTCGTTTTGTGAGTATTGATAAGGAATGTATTTGTTAGAGTAAATGTGTGTGGCCTGTCATAAATCATCATAAAAATACACAATAAAACAAATTAAACTATCAATTACCTTTTATTGGCCATCTATTTTTAAGGCTTTTTGTCGTTCACTCCCATCCTTCGCACCTGAAAATTTCCAAATATCAACCACAAATATAAACAATTTATCTAGGTTAAAACATTTTTGTTTGAATTATGGTCACAATATCATGATTAAAAAAAATTATTATGGCATTTTTTATATTTTCAATTTATGGGTTTTTCTTTAATAATTAATAATATGTTAACTAACGTCCATTTGTTTGTTTTTATCTTGGGTAAAGTTTTGAAAATCATTCAATTTCCAGTCCTAATATTCTACCAGCTATAACATATAACTACCAATAGAATTCTATTTTTTTCACCTGTGCCACCTTGATCGCAATGCCACCTTGATCTTACTACATATTCTAGCAGTCACACCGCCTTAATTTATTTATTACTCTATACTACACTTTCCTACACTGTGTCACACTGGTGGGTGGAATGCTAAAGCCAAATGTAATTATTCTTTAACCTAAATGCTGTCACGTCCGTCTTTTTTCTTTGACTTGCTCTAAAATCTGTCTTCAACTTCTATATCTTTTAACGTTTTCACGTTTTCTCTTACGTTTTCTTTTAAAGCTCGAACATTATTTGCTTCATTGGCACTGGCAATAGTTTTGAAGAATTGTGAATGCATTGCCGGGATTTTTATGCGGGGAAAGGGTTGCTGGTCAGTAAAAGTGGAGAGGAATGTTAGCAGAATATAACGTGCAATGGAAAGGTCCAAGCTCTCTTGTTGGACGCCAGCTTGCACATATAGGGTACATCGCTGTGGTCCGTCTAACTCTGATTGAACGGTCAGACAGGTAAGATTTTAGGATTAGTAGGTGCTGTCCTTCAGCTTTCACAGGGGCCGGGTACCCTGTCCCAAGGTGATAAATATCAAGTAGTACATCCGCGTGCTTCTGTCCAAAATAGGAAGATATGACGACCACGATAACATGGTTGGATTGTGTAGTGTAGGGGCCTAATTCCAAACTGGTGACTCAGAATAGTTTCTTGTGATTCAGGTTTTGACTCGTTAAAGGAGACTGGGCGGGAGAATGAAGGAAAATCGATGTCTATAGGATTTTTCAAAAAATAAGAAATGACTGATTACACCTAGTCGGAAGATAAAAATTCTTTAGTTGGGAGATAAGGAGGTACAGGAATATTCAAGTTTTGTTCGATTAAGACAGTTAACATACGAGAAGGTGCCAAGAGCCAAAAGTCCTATATGAAAGAATACGTTTCCTGGTTGTCCATAGGGTCGTGAGCAGTTAAATCAGATCTCCATAACTTAGAAGGCTATAATTTTTAGTTAATAACCCAATGTATTTATATTAAATTGTAATAAACAAACTAGTGTGGTGTGGCGTGTAAAATGTGTTGTTCGACCCAAGTGGCATATCGATCCAGACGGCACAGGCGAGAAAATTGGAAGGCTACTGTTAGTTATAGATCATAGGATATTAGGAGTCGTCCTGGTTTACAACCTTGCGTGACCAACATTGGTCTATTGTGCGATCACCATTATTATGTAATACTCGTCTTATGTGAGGCATTATGTCCCAAAAAGATAGAAGGCTAAGATTAGAGGCACAGTAGTGTAAACAGTAAAGTGTAATAAAAAAAATGAGGAAGTGTGGTGGGTAGAATGTGTTGTAAGATCCAGGTAGAATGTCGATCTAGATGGCACAGGCAAGAAAATCTAGAAGACTACTGTTAGTTATATATAAGTTGTAGGATATTATAATTCGGCCTCTTTTACGACCAAATTACAGGAAAAAAGTTCAGAATGACTTTATTTTAAAACTTTAAATAGACTTTTGCACAGATTCTTTATTTACAATGAGTCGACAATTGGCGAAGTTAACAGAGAGACACAGTCCTTTATAAAACGGAGTTAACAGAGCGAGTTCGTGGAGGTAGGAATGCACCCAGAAATAAGACTAAAGATAAATTTGCCCTTCGTCGTCTATGTTTAGAACGGGTTGAAACGCTTTTAACTAGAACTTTACGCCTTTTAACGCCGAACTCTTAGCCAGCAGAACCTAATTTTTGTTTCAAATGATCGGACATACAAACGACAAATATTTTCAGAGGTTTTTTTTTTGGGGGGGGGGACGAAATTCGAACCGAACCATGAAAACATTCTTGACAGAAGTCACACGTCTTAATAATGACAAATATTGTTTAAATTTAATTAGAGCAAATATTGAGACATAAATAAACATTAAGGCTTATTGGTATGTACAAATTGGATCAAACAACGATTGATTATTGAAAATATTGTTTTTTTCCGTCAAATTAACCTTCTTTAAATTCATATTAGACCTTGTTAACTTCAAATTACCCCTTTCCAGCTTTCAATTAACTCTTTTTTTATTTCAAATTAACCATTTCTAACTTCGAATTAACTCTTTTTAATTTCAAATCAATCCTTTTTAACTTCAAATTAACCTTTTTTAACTTCAAATTTACGCTTTTCAACGTCAAAGTAATTCTTTTAATTTCAAATTAACCTTTTTTAACTCCATAGTAAACCTTATTAATTTCAAATTTACCTTTTTTAACTTCATAGTAAACCTTTTAAATTTTAAACTAACCCTTTCTCACTTCCAATTAACTCTTTTTAATTTCAAATTAACCCTTTCTAACTTCGAATTAACTCTTTTTAATTTAAAATCAATCCTTTTTAACTTCAAATTAACCCTTCTCAACGTCAAATTAATTCTTTTAATTTTAAATTAACCTTTTTTAACTCCATAGTAAGCATTATTAATTTCAAATTAACCTTTTTTAACTTCATAAATTTTAACTTCATAAACCTTTTAAATTTTAAATTAACCCTTTCTCACTTCCAATTAACTCTTTTTAATTTCAAATTAACCCTTTCTAACTGCGAATTAACTCTTTTTAACGTTTTTTCTTCAAATTCACCCTTTAATTTCAATTTAATCGTTTCTTTAAAATATTAAAAACTTAGAAGTTGAGATGAAACGTGAGCATGTAAATTAAAAATTGAGATTATTTTAATAAAAAATAATTGCGCTCTTAGAAGACTATGAAACAACCAAATTAGGCACAAAATTAGGCCAATATTAGGCACAATTAAAATTATAAATGAAATAAAGTTAAGCATAAAAATAAAGGATTCTTCTTTTAACTGGAGAATTTTTTGTAAGTAAAAAGAATTTTTTTGTGTAAAATATAACGTGAAAATTATTTACAAATAAAAATAAAAGTTATATCAAATTAAATAAAAATACAAATGATTTTTGTAAATATGTAACACTTTTTTATAGACGTTATTTTAAATTTTTAAAAAGTTCGAATTAATAGATCAAATTTTTCTATTTACTCTTATATCACTTTATTTCGAATCAACAGATGAATCATTTANTTCTGAAACCTACATCACACCAGACCGCATCTCACGATTTCTAAATAAATATTGATTAACGGTCACTAATCACCACACATTTATATATATTTTTTTTATTTTTAATGTGATTAATTTTCAAATGGTTTTCTAACAGGCCAACTATATTATGAAAAAAATTCTCAATATACAGGAATTCGACTTTACAGGCTTACATTTTATACCATTTTGTTTATGCTGTAAAGACAAGGTTACTTTGATGTTCAAAAAGGGTTAAGTGAACAGAATAAATCTATTTATCAAAAAGGGTCGAAATAAAGTTATTAGTGGAGAAAACTTGTCAAGAATGATGACATGGAGTTGAGAAAATAACTCTGTAATCTATTTGTACACTTTCTTTTTAGACACCTCGGTATTTGAAGTGTTTTAAATACTGAATCCGGGTATGGTCGTTGTCAGTAAGATGTGGAACGTCGGCCCGCTGCTATTTTCTACTATTTCTATTTTCTGACCGGTCTGGACGAGGGCCGTTCCAAACGTCGCAACGTTTTATTTTTCTCCCATTCACGACAACATTCTTCACACCGATTTTCAAACGCATTTTTTTAATGAATAGATTTTTAAGTGAAAGGACAAATTGGATGTTTGAAGTGAAAATGATCGTTATTGCATGTAAATATCAGTCTGACAATAATAAAAAGAATTACTTGAGCCCGTGTATACAAGCGATTCACTCCATAAAAATACGGATAACCACAAAAGCGTTATAGCTGTGCCACTAACAATTACAGCGTTCTAATTTTTTGAGAAGTGACAAAAAAGCCTTGAGCTTATTGAGCTTAACAAGGAGCTGAAGATGATGGAAATTATACAATACACCAATATTGGTTACGCAAGGTTGTAAACCAGGACAGCTCCTAACATCCTATAACCTATAACTAACATTAGTCTTCTAGAATTTCTCATCTGTGGCGTCTAGATAGATCTAGACCATGTAACACATTCTAGCCACCACAGCTCCTCAATTTGTTTATTACCCTTTATTATTGTTTAATACACTGAGTCACTAACAATTTTAGCCATCTGACTTGCTGAGATCTGATAAAAAGGCTTTTAAGGATGAGCTTTAGACAATAGTGGTGATTGCACAATAAACCAATATGGTCACGCAAGGTTGTAAACCAGGACGGCTATTAATATCGTACAACTTGTAACCTATAACTAACAATAACTTTCTAAGATGTTTTCCAGCAGCGCCGGCAAGATGGAGATGCCGCCTTGATCTTTCGAGGTTTAAATAATTATGGAGATTACACAGCAGCAATATCGGTCGCGGAAGGCTGAAAAAGTTGTCGATTCCTAATAATCTACAATTATAACCAATAAATAATAATAGCCTTCTAAGATGTTTTCCAGCAGTGCGACTACATGAAATGCCACCTTGATCTTATATCACATTCTAGCCACCACAGCTCCTCAGTTTGTTTATTACACTTTATTACTGTTTAATACAATATACCACTAACAATTTTATCGTTCAACTTTTTGGGATCTGCTGAAAAGGCTTACATTAATGGTAGAGCTCTTGATAATAAAAGTGATTGCACAATATCCAATTTCGTCTCGAAAGGTCGTAAAAAAGGCTGAATCTAATATCCTACAACTTATAACATTAGTCTTCTAGAATTTCTCGTCTGTGCCGTCTACATACATCTGGACTTTGTAACACATTCTAGACACCACAGATCCTAAGTTTGTTTATTACATTTTATTATTGTTTAATACACTGAGTTACTAACAATTTTAGCCATCTAACTTGTTGGGATCTGATAAAAAGGCTGACTTTTAAGAATGAGTTTTATACAATAGCCTTCTAAGGTGCTTTCCAGCAATGTCGACTAGATGAACATGCCACCTGGATCTTACATCACATTCTAACCACCACAGCTCCTCAGTTTGTTTATTACATTTCATCACTGTTTAATACAATATACCACTAACAATTTTACCGTTCGACTTTTTGGGATCTGAGAAAAAGGCTGATAAAAAGTTTAATACACTGAGTCACTAACAATTTTAGCCATCCAACTTGTTGGGATCTGATAAAAAGGCTGACTTTTAAGGATGAGCGTTAGACAATAATGGTGATTGCCCAATAGACCGATATTGATCTTGGAAGGTCATAAAAGTGGCTGACTTCTAATGTACTACAACTTATAACCTTACCCTTCTAATATTTTCCCCCCTGTTCCGTCTAGATCGACATGCCACCTACATCTTACAACAGACTATACCTAGTTGATGCAGTTTAATACACTGGGTCACGAACTAATAATTGTAAACTAGACCTCACAACAATTCTAACCACATACCTTGCAAAACCCGACCGTTCTGTATGAGACGAATTAAGGAGGAAGGAACAGACACCATCAGAGAAATCCTTATACACGATGATAAAGTAGGAGGGAAAAAACTCTTGGAACAAACAATCTTAGAATGAATTAGGGTAAGCAGGAGGAAAGTCAAAGAAGTGCAAGAACGTCAAGGATATAGTCTTTGAGTATATATGATCGTGCATATCGTAATCCTATAGCTTACACACAAATCGCGAATGATTTTAAGGCTGTGCTGTATATACAGAATAAATAACTATGTGCATACAACATAAGATGTATTTTTATCTAAATATTTTATTTTTTATAATTTTTATATAATAAGGTGCCTTAATAATATATTGGTAGTAACATTAAAAGTACTTACTAATTATCAGAAATAATTACAGAATGTTTCATCCGTTGATGATTTGACAAATTCTCGACTTATATTCGTTTCATTTGAAACATTCTGGAATCTGGAAATAAATATTTGATAAGTTAAATTAAAACTAGTCTAGTTAATTTTTACAAATTTTATTTTATAATAAATATAATTTTTCCTTGGTTGTGCTATCCCTCAATGGCGGTAGTCCAATGATACTGCCATATTGCATATTTAATTAAGACTTGTGTCAATATCATGCTAGGATAAATGCTTCTTGATTTGATGATATACAGTAATTGGGAGGGTTTTATGATACTTGCGGTTATTGGGGAATTAAAAGGATAAAAGAAATAAATATGTTTTTATAGGTAGCTTCGTTGGACACATTAAATGGATCATCAGTATTTTTTAAAATTAAGGATTGGGTAGTTTGGCCGAATTACATACTTCCAGTCCTTATGTCCATATCGACTTCACTAAGGTAAGTGAGTGGACTAGGCGATTTTTCTGATTTTTATTTTCTTCTTACAGCAAAAGTCAAGTAGAGGTGTTGGAGGTTTCGAGTGGAAACGACAGGATCAGAGAAATATGACAGGATTCAGTAATATCGTTAGGATGGTAGTTTGAGGATGTCGGCTGTGTACACCTGGATCTTGGTGCCAGAACGCTACCCTGAGGAACACCAGGGATAGGATAAGCCTTCAATGACTATGTGAAGGTTAGTCACGTAGCTGTGAAGTATGAGATCAAAAGTTTAAATAAAGGAAGGTCCTAGAACAGTAATGACCGATCACAACTGAGGATGTAATGTATAATAATACTTCCCTGTCCTTGCGGGGGAGAACAAGAGAGGAAACTAGGAATCTACGCGTACTAAAGGGTAAGATAGCATGATGGAAGGATTGGATCTGTAAAATTGGGAGCAATGCTTTTTGGATTTAAGGCACAAAAAGGAAGCAGAGCTTGAGCCTTGAGGACCACCTTGGGGCCAATAAATAGATGATGGATTGGAAAAAGTTTTTTTTTTTTTAACGAGGGTCCCTCAGGGTGCCAGTGTTTTTGCTAAATAGCACATTTGTAAGTATGTCGGGTTCGAATGCAGGGCCGCTGGATTGGAACCCGGGCCCTTCACCTTACAGTGATGAGCGCCGTGTCAACGCCTAAACCGTTGCGGCCACCGACGCCCCTTGGGAAGCTTATTTGAGTTGGACTAGTAGAGAAAGTGCTGAAAGGAATGAGTGGATACTGTTGGAGGTGAAGTTTTAAGTTGAGTAAGAAGGGGAGAGGACACCGTTGGAGGTTGTTTCACAGTATAAAAAATTAAAGCAAAAATTTGAAGAGTTAACCAAAAGAGAAACAGAAAATGTGAATATTTTATTTTTTATAACAAGTCATAATTTTAAAGTTATATAAATATAAATAATTACGAAAAAATTGCAGACTAAATTGATCTCCAGCAATTTTTTTTCGGGAGGAGGTTAAAATTTTCGTTTAGTGGGCTCATATATTTATTTATAAATCCACTCAACGAATAACTGGACTAAAAAATAATTAAAAGATATAATAATTTAATCGTTATTTTACAACAAATTTATACCATCCCGACAAAATTCATTTCTCAGTCTATCTCTCTCTCTCTCTCTCTTCTTTTTGCTACTATTGTTCAAAGTGAGAAGTCAAAAAAGAGGAAATGTGTATGGAATTCATACAGAATGATAAGCAGACCCCAGGAGGCGTTACATGGCCAGTTGGTCTCGATGGCATCTGCCCATCGGTCTCATCCTAGTGTTAGAAGGAAAGGGTAGAAATTCTCGATCAATGGATCAGATGGAAAGGACTTATGGTATGTACCTACAAGCCGGTAGAGATGGCTTTCGATCCTGTCCTAGCAACCAAAATTTGATTCTCAATTGGCTGTTAAATGGAGTTTTAAAAGTTGCAAGGAAGACTATTAGATGGGACTTATAAATATCAGTATGTCAGAAAGGATGAAAGGATAATGTAGTCCGTAACAAGTCATTTCATTAAGTACCGTTTAAAGCATCCTTGACTTTCCCTAAAACCAACAGTCCAGACCATCTTATGAATTGCAGCCGTTATCAGTTGCCATCTAAGTAAACCCAATCGTGTTGTGGAGGTCCCATTCTTTTTACCATTTACACTGCTGATTTTCCTGTACAACCCACCATGATTACCATCATCTTTTAGCCCGGATCCTATCCAAGCAACCTCTAGCAGGTTCTATCCTCCAACTCCGACCCCGTTGTAGCTCACCAAACCACCCATAAACATTTATATCATCGAGATGAAGGAATGCACGCACTTCCTCATCAAGTTGGACTTGGCCAAGTACTTCACAGCGTGGGTCGGACCCCCTCATCTCTATACAAACCCTAAGGGTAGCCTACGTACTCATTGTATACTGCTGATATCACTTTCCGTTTCCGACATCACTATCCTAACATACCCTGATGGCACTCATTCTATCTTCGGACACCGTTAAAGCTGAACGAAGCTTCCAGACACACCTGCAATCCTTGGAACGTCAACAGTATAAATTCCCCAAACATAACCTTCATCCTACATCCAAACTATTACAACCTTATCTCTCTTACCTACAAAAAAGTCATCCGCTACCTCAGGGCAGAACCTAACCAAACGACTGACCTGAAATCCTCATATGAGTTTATCAATAATATGGGCAAACATTGGAGGACAAGAATGACAAGAAAAATGTACATTTAAACATAAAAGAAAACAGGATGCAGGACCTAGAGGTCTCATTCTTTTTACCATTTACACTGCTGACTTTCCTCTACATCCCACTATTATTACTATAATATTTTAGCCCGGATTCTATCCAAGCAATCCAATAATCCTCCTCGACGTGAAAAACGACAGTAGACGGTTATAACCCCTCTTTCTACCGAAAACCTCATCCACTACCTCAAGCTCAAAACCTAACCTTCACCCTACCTCTAAACTATTATAACCTTACCCATATTCCTACTGAAAACCTCATCTGCTACCACAGGCTCAAAGCAAAACCTTCACCGCACCTCTAAACCTTATATAAAAATCAATATGGACCTAACCATCCAATTTCTTCAGAATTCAAACAAGCTACAATAAAAAAATTCGTTGACATTAAAGAAAGAAAATTATGTTGAATTATCAAGAAAATGTGAAAGTCTAATCTGTGTATTCATTTCCTGATTGGCCTTATATATAAGAATCAATCCAAGGATGGGATATACTGAAATCCATTCCATTGATCCGTTTTGTGCCCCTCTATCTAATATTAAATCGATATAAAAATAGACGGGGGCCCAATTGGAGATTACACCCTGTGTACCTTCTAAGCGTTCGTAATAGTTTTAAAAACAAAAGTTTTAAAATTAATGCAAAAATAATCCAATAAGTTTTAACTAATTGGTTTTTTTGTTTCCTTTATACTCATGAAACGGATGGGCGATGAGGTTCCTTCAGATGTCTTCGACTTGTCAGTACGATCATTATTGATTGCAAAATATCTTGAAAATGATCTTCATCTACATTACTAACAATCAGTTGAGCATCATTAAAGAAAGAACGAATTAAGGTAATATTCATAAATGAAGGGTTAAAGCATAAAATCTCAAAGAACTTCTTTTTAACACCTTATTCTTTTATCCTGGAATCCTGTCTAACTGCTAATTCAGTGGTGCAGCAAGGAATACCCAGACATCAGACCAATATAGGGCGGAGTTCCATATGGGTGCATTCTAGGTTCCATCCTTTTTACCATTTTTACTGTTGAATTTTCTCATCATACCGCAAATGCTAACAATTATAGGCTTCTAAGATGGTTTTCACTAGTGCTGTGTAGATGGACATGCCGTTTGGATTTTTGGAGCTTTACATAATTATGTAGATTGCACAATAGACCAAAACTGGTCGCGGAAGGTCGTTAAATAGGTCGACTACTAACAACAATTATAATAAATTATAACCTATAACTAATAACAGCCTTCCAATTAGTTTCGATTCTGTCTTCTAACCCGAATTTTATTCAAGCTACCTTCAACATTCAAGAACACCTTGAAACAAGATCTAGGAAGGTTCAAAGTGGTTGACTCCTCCGCCATAGAAAACAAAGAGTATTTGGGTACTTTCCCGAATCTGGGCGATGCATCCTCTATAAACAGTAAAACTTCTTACCCACCCATTAATAACTAATCATGAAATCCTTTTTAAGCGACATCTTCGCTTACTTACTTTATATTGAAGTACGACAACGAGAACTCAAATTTCAGTCCAATACAATCCAAAATCCCGCAAGGGAACATTCCAAGTCCAATCTAATTTACAATTTGTACTACTAACTTTTCTATATATCCCAACACTATCATTATTCATTACTATCATCCAACTTACCTCCAACAGTCCAAAACGCGTTTACAGGTGCAAAAGTTGGATGACAAAACTATATTTAGTGTACATCTACAATGTAAAAACCGCCTGGCCCTTCACTGTACAACAATAACCTCGAGATATCAAACCAATTCAAGTCATCGTCCCATAAGGCTTTATTCTAAGTCCCGTCCTTTTTACCACTTATACTGCTAACTTTTCTATAAATCCCAACACCATCGTGTCAAGGCTGTACCCAGCGTACATTTATAATAAAAAACAATACTGCCTTCCACTGTGCATCAGCAACAATAAGATATCAGATCAATACTAGCCGGCGTCTCGCAAGGGAGCATTTTAGGTCTCATATTTTATATATACTGCTGACTTCCATGTACATCCCAACACCATCATTACTATCATCTTCTAACCTGGATCCGATCCAAGCAACCTCCACCATCCACAAACACCTTGACAGGCGCAAAACATGGATGACAAGACGTACCCAATGTACATTTACATTAAAAAAAAACAGTCCTACCTTTTTTTGGACTTTTGCCTTAGCAATTAGGTCAAGAAAATTTTTATGAAAACTAAAATGCATATATAAATATAACTATGAAATAAATATAAATAACCCCATGCTTTACAATACTTCTCACAGTCATACAAAGTATATGAACTATATTACACACATAC